CCGCCAAGCCCGGAGCAGACAAAAACAAATATTGTCAGTACCATAGGAGCCATGGTCATCTGACTGAGGATTGCGTCCACCTCAAGGACGCCATCGAAACCCCCATCAAGGGAGGGAGGCTCGCGCAGTACCGGCGAAGTGACGCTCCCCGTCGTGACGCCCAGGAGACAAGGGATCCGGAGGAAGATGCCCGACCATCTGACGAGTCGGTCCCCATCCAGACCGCCTTCTCCGTGACCAGGCCCGAGGACTTCGACATCCCCGAGCACCTGCAGGAGCCGCTCACAACGCACAGTAGGTGGGAATATTTCCCCTCTGCCATGGTCATCAACGGCGGCGGGTTCAATGACTTGACCATTAATTCGGCTAAGAGGAAGCTGGACGAGCTGGTCGACGCGGCGCCCCCGCAAACAGTGACGTTCGAAAGGGTGAAGGGCAGGTCGGAGCCCATCACCTTCTACCTAGAAGAGCTCCCCGGTGGAGCCCCAAACGCGGTCATCCCCTTACTGATAAGGGCAAGAATGGCCAATTTTGATGTGCATCGCATCCTCGTCGACGAAGGGAGTTCCGTCAACGTGATGTACAGCCAACTGTTCCGAACTCTACAACTGGACGACTCACATCTCTCGCCATACGTAGGGTCGGACTTACAAGGTTTCAACGGCTCGACCTCCAAACCTTGGGGGGTATGTCGAGCTCCTGGTTACATTCGACGAGGAACGGCTACAAGACAAGTCAAAGTACGCTTCCTCGTCATCGACTGCCCGTCTCTGTACAACTGCATCCTGGGAAGACCAGCACTGGCAGAACTGACAGCGGTGCCCTCGACCGTCCACCTGAAGATGAAATTCTACACCAAGAGAGCACGGGTAGCTACTATCCAAGGAGACCTAGTCTCTTCCCGGAGGTGTTTCAACGCCGCTTCTAAAGGACGCGATACTGTCGACATAGGGACAAGGCCCGCCAAAAGGACGCGACAGGAGCCCGACAAGCAAGAGTCCCCCAAGGAAGAAGTCCAGAGAGCTTCACCAAAGGTCGACTCTATAGCTCTAGACACTCGTTTCGACCAAGACGAACCTCTCAACGGCGAGAAAATCCCACTCCGACTAATACCGGACGGGGATTTTGAGCTCATCCCCCTCGGCACAGACCCGACCAAAGGCGTGAAGATTGGCAAAGATCTCCCCGACCTGGCAAGAAAGCAAATCAAGGCCTGCTTGCGCGAGAATGCCGACCTGTTCGCCTGGAGCGCCGCGGAGATGCCTGGACTCGACCCTGAGGTCGCCTGTCACCACCTCGCCATAGATCCTACCGCTAGGGCCGTAGTGCAATGTAGACGTAGGCAGTCTCCAGAAAAAACGGAGGCTGCTGAAAAAGCTGTAAAAGACCTCCTAGAGGCAAATTTTATTTCTGAAGCCCGGTATTCCACCTGGCTGTCAAATGTTGTACTCGTTAAAAAGAATAATGGAAAATGGAGGATATGTGTTGACTATACCGATCTCAACCGGGCTTTCCCGAAAGATACTTTCCCTTTGCCTAACATAGACATGTTGGTCGACAACTCGGCCGGCTACAAAACGTTGTCGTTCATGGATGCCTACTCGGGCTATAACCAAATTCCGATGGCCGTGAGCGACAAACACTGCACGACTTTCATGACCAGCTCGGGCAACTATTACTACAACGTAATGCCCTTCGGACTGAAAAACGCCGGGGCAACTTACCAGCACATGATGAACAAAGTTTTCCACAAACAGATTGGCGACATGCTTGAGGTGTATATGGACGACATGATCGTCAAATCCCGAGCAGACACCAACCATGCAGCACACCTCAAGGCGGTCTTTGCCCAAGCAAGACAATGTAAAATGAGATTCAACCCCGAGAAATGTACGTTCGGAGTCAAGGCAGGGAAATTCCTCGGATTCTACCTAACAGAACGAGGAATTGAAGCCAACCCCGACAAATTCCGGGCGTTCTCCGACCTCCCGACACCAACGTCGAAGAAGTCAATACAAATCATGAACGACATGCTCACATCATTGTCCCGCTTCGTCGCGAGGTCCGCTCGGCACGCCCTCCCCTTCTTCAAACTCCTTCGTAAGGAAGCAGCCTTCGAATGGAACGAGGAGTGCGAACAGGCGCTGCGCCACCTAAAGCAAAGTCTATCTCAGCCACCCATACTATCTCGACCAGCCGACGGGGAGCCACTGTTTTTATACTTGGCCGTCTCGAACGAAGCCATCAGCGCGGCTCTCGTCCGCGAGACCACCGACGGACAGAAACCCGTCTACTTCACGAGCAAAGCCTTGCAAGGACCCGAAAGCAGATACCAACATATAGAAAAGGTGGCTATAGCCCTCGTCAACGCGGCAAGGAGGCTCAGACACTATTTTCTAGCCCACACAATCATCGTGCGAACCGACCAACCGGTGAGGCAACTCTTGGGTCGGCCCGATATGGCGGGCAGAATGTTGAAATGGTCCTTGGAACTCTCTGAATTCGACATTCAGTACGAGAGTAGGAAAGCCCTGAAAGCACAGGCCCTGGCCGACTTTGTCGCGGAAATGACCACTCATGACCCACCCACGGGGAAGGAACACAAGTGGACCATCTTCGTCGACGGAGCATCCAGCTCGTCCGGAAGTGGCGCAGGAATCCTTTTGGAGAACGAAGAAGGCGTTGTGGTCGAAAACTCCCTAGCTCTTTCCTTCCCGAAGTCGAACAACCAAGCAGAGTACGAAGCCCTGCTCGCAGGACTGAGACTAGCCGAGGACCTGGGAGCCCGTGAGGTACAGGTCTACACCGACTCCCAACTCGTCGCCTCCCAAGTCCAGGGGAGTTACCAAGCCAAAAACGACAACCTCGTCGAGTACTTGAACTTAGTCAAAAAATACATGACAAAGTTTGTACGGGAGGAAATTTCACATGTTCCCCGCGAGCAAAACACAAGGGCAGACATATTGTCCAAACTCGCGAGCACGAGAAAGAAGGGCGGGAACAAATCCGTCATCCAAGAATCCCTAGCACACCTGAGTATCGAAAGATCCTCGACGCCAGTCGAGGTCCACGCCATAGGGGATGCCTCGTCCTGGATGACCCCGATTTACAATTTCTTGACGAAGGGTGAACTCCCATCGAACCAGATCGACGCAACCGTCACCAAGCGGCGAGCATGCGTCTACGTGGTGCTCGAGCAAAAACTGTATCGCAGGGGATTTTCCATCCCCCTCCTAAAATGCATCAACGAATCCACGGTCCCCGAGGTACTATAGGAGATACACGAAGGGATTAACGCCCAACACATGGGCGGTAAGTCCTTGGCGAGGAAAGCTCTTCGAGCGGGATATTATTGGCTGACGATGCAACAGGACGCCAAGGAACACGTTAAGAAGTGTGACAAGTGCCAGAAGCACGACGACATGCACCTCGCCCCCCCCTTACGAACTGAGCATACTGTCGTCCCCATGGCCGTTCGCATGGTGGGGTATGGACATCCTCGGACCCTTCGTGCAGGGGACTTACCCAAATAAATTCCTCATCGTGGCCGTGGATTACTTCACGAAATGGATAGAAGCCGAGGCTCTCGCGAAGATCACCTCTCACAACATCCTCCGCTTCTACAAGAGAAACATCCTCGCCAGGTTCGGAATTCCGAGGGCACTGGTGACCGACAACGGCACCCAATTCACTGACCACGGGTTCCAAGACTTCGTCACCAGACTAGGAACAAAACAACACTTCACTTCGGTCGAGCACCCTCAAACCAACGGGCAAGCCGAAGCCGCGAATAGAGTCATCCTCCGGGGACTCAAACGACGTCTGGGCGAAGCAAAGAGGGGATGGGTCGAGGAACTGCACAGCGTCTTGTGGGCATACCGCACCACGCCCCACTCAACGACGGGCGAGACCCCATTCCGACTAACATGCGACACCGAGGCCGTTATCCCGGTAGAAATCATGGAACCTTCTAGACGGACAGAGAACCCCCTCGACAAAGAAATGAACGACGAGGCACTCAGGGACGAGCTCGACTTAGTTGAGGAAATCCGATCTGGGGCGGCCCTCCGTGAAGCCACCCTAAAACAACGAGTGGCTCTGCGCCACAACGACAAGGTCATTAAGCGCGAGTTCGAAATCGGCAGCCTGGTATTACGAAGGAACCAGAAAGACTCCCGCGAAGGGAAGCTGGCCGCGAACTGGGAAGGGCCTTATCGCGTCCACGGCACCACCGGTACCGGGGCGTACTACCTCGAGCAACTAGACGGAGAGCCACTACCACGACCCTGGAACGCTGCTAAACTGAAGCAATATTATAGTTAAAAACTACCAACACCAATGACCCTCGACTGTCGACTCCCGCGCCCAGTCAACGAGGAGAAACGTCCGACCCCCGTAGAGAGGCCGAGGTACAGGCCCGACCTACGTCCAAACTGCATAACATCGTTCAACAGACAAGAAAAAACGATAGCGCCCGACGTGGACACCTCGATCGAGCTCCACCGCCGAAGTACCTGTAAGGCAGAACACCCAGCTCGCGATGGACAGTTCACGCCGCGGGCAAATAACCCTGACCGAGTCATATACCCAACCAAGCGGCTTCGCTCCGCACGCCCGACGAATCTCGAAGAACGTCGGGCCATCTAAAAGGGTCAAAAAGGAGTCTCTCCCCTCGAGTTCACCACTCAGGCGACTCTGGCCATCGAGAAGAGGCCGAGCACATACACGAACAAAAGACTTAGGCAAATTTGCCAACAAAGTCACAGCCATATACGAGCACGACTCGGGCCCATAACTTAGGCCAATTTTTGCGCAAAAACGTAAAACACAAGCACGGGCAAATAATCAAAAAATTGAAAAAAAACATTCATTCAAAATGCCCGTAGGCAACAAAGAAGATGTAAACCGACCAAAAAGGCCGACAATGTTCAGGAAATACAAAGAACGGGCACGCAGGCCCAAAACAAACATCAACGAGGCGCGCAGGCCCCATCATTATCTCACAACTCAGCTTCCCCGGAGCTACCATCACCAACAACAAGAGAGTCGGGAGGAGGCACGACCTGACCATCAATGATCTGAGACATATGGCTCACCCCTTCAGTGTTCAGGCCGGGATTCAACAGGGAAAGCTGGCTGACCGCGGCTTCAAAGCCGTCCGCCATAGCTCCGACACAGTCCCCCTCGAGAAGTTGGATACGAGCGACCAGTTCCAATCGACTCCTCAAAGGAGTTGTATCCTCTGACTCGTCCTCGACAGGAAGCATAGCGGCCTTTAGGTCCTCGATCTCTCTGGCGAGGCGCCCGTTGTCAATTTCCAGACGTTCCCGGTCCGCACGAAAAAGGTCTCTCTCCTCGGCCAACTTCCCCGAGTTCTCTTTCTCCAGAGCCAGCAACTCTGTCTCCGCCGTCAGCAGCTCGGCTTGCTCACGGAACATCTCCTCGGAGCGCTCCAGAGAAGCCTTCAACTTTCGTGAACTCGAGGTGAGGGCAGCTTTCTCCTGTTCCAACTCTTTGATACGGTCAGAGTCCTCCCCCTCCTCGGCCAGCACAACGGCCATCTCGGCCATCTTTACCAGCCCTGCCATATTGGCGGCCAGGTGCCTTCTCCGGTTTTCCTTGCTCATCCGCCTGATAGTTTCGGCTTCATCAGCACTCACGGACAAGGGAAACCCCTCGAAGAAACCCTCCTCTTTAAAGCAAGGGGGCAACCCAAAGGACCTCACGGCACTGGAGTCCTCACTGACCTCCGGTTGGCTTTCCACCCGATTCCTCTTCCTCTGTATCAGGTCGGTGTGTGTCTCGACCTCCTGGACGTCCGGGATCCCTCCCGAAGCAGCTCCCGAGCTAGGTGGCGGGTCCACCCTCGTCGTCTGAGAAGTGCCCAGACTATGTGGCGGGTCCATCCTCGTCGCCTGAGGAGCTCTCACCACCCTCTTATTTACCTTCCTGTCACAGGACAACTTCAAGAGCCTCTCCCTTCGTTCGGCCATCAGACCTGCATGAAAGAACCCCGGGTTAGTGACGAGAAAATAAGCGAACAAATAACAAGTAAATAAATTCAAACAAGACAAAACAATAACGACCTAGCAAATTCGCAGCCTGCCCGAAGGACTGGCACTCCACAAGTGCCTTCGTGTCAATCGGTCGGGCCTCGAAGGTCGGATAACCTTCCTCGTCAAGAATATCCCCCCCCTCCCTCGTGGCCCATCTGGCGGGGAAGAAACTGTCGACATACCGACAGAGAGTACCATAAGCCTTCTCGTCTTCGGAGCTCATCTCGCCCGCGGACGTATGGTAGTACCCGGTGCCATGCTCGTAGTGCCTCGAGGTCCAATGCAAGGGAAATTTGGCCACGCGCCCCAACACCGGATGTCCCTCGTCGTCTAAAAGGGCTTCCCCGTGGTCGTCGGTTACGACTGTTTCCTCCTCATACACAGACTCTAAACCTGCTGTGGTAACCGGACTCACAATATACCACTTGTCCTTGAAACCCCGCACGAAATCCATGTACATCCTGAAAAGTCTCTTCGACTGTTTCAGGAAACCCAGCTATGCTTACCTCCCCGGGATTGGCGTTGTAGGTGGAAGACTCTGAAGAAGAGGGGTATGGTCGCCCCAATCCTTAGAAACCGACAAGTTAGCTCGAACGCCCTGATGAAAGCGAGCGAATTTGGGTGAAGCTGCGACGGGGCCAGCCCTAGATGGCTGAAGACCCCGACCTGAAAATCGCTGAAGGGCAGTTGTAACCCAAGGTCCTTGAAGGCAATTTCATACATGGGGAATCCATACTCGGGGAACTCCGAGCAGATTCGTGCGGTGAAAGTTGGTCGAGTGACGACGAAGTTCTTTTGGAAACTGGGTTGGCTACTGCCCGTCTCGAAGATGGTATATGCCCTTCGACTACGTCGACTATAGGCCGAAGCTATCCCTATGGGCTCGGCACCCACCCATTCCAGCAGAGGGTCCTCTATGGTGTCAACCAAATTCACATTTTCATCAGCACTTTGTTCTTCCACCTCGGTGCGCCCTGAAGAACACGGTTCGTCCGCCATGGTTACCTACAAAGCACGGGAAACCAATCAATTGAGAGCGAAACCACACACTCGCCATAACGGACGAGATGAAGGGCACAACAAACCACGTCGCTCCACGCGCGACCATAAAGTTGGTGTTTCGGAACAAAAAAGAGCAGTCACCTCCCCGGCTCCCAATCACCACGACAAGCTACAGATCGCCTGAATAGGCCAACATCTCGACCACTCACGAATGTGTCGACCCAGGCTACGAATGTGGCGAGCGACGTCATGGGTCTCAAAACTAGAGCCATGAGTTTACCGGGCACTACCAAGAATTAGGCGCCCTGAGTCATGAAGTCCCCGGGCAGCACTGTGAGTCAAATACCTAAACTATGCGTTTACCGGGCGCATACACGCGTTCGCCGGGCATAAACATGGATTTGTCGAGCTAAATATAAATCTACCGGGCTAATCCCAGGCGTACAGTCTCTAAAACATCTGAAAACAATGAAAATCATGCATCACAGAGGAAAAACGAAGGAGACAAGACACTTACTTGGAATCAGGAAGGTAATGTGACGACGGAGAAAGGAAATCAGCGACGGAGATCACGGCGGTCCTATGAGTATCTGGGAAGAACAGCAACAGCAGAAACAGAGTGAAGAGGAGAAGCGCGAACAGGGAAAACACGTTCTGGGGCCCAAACACCCTATTTATAGTGATGACGTGGAATACCAAACGTCACTCCGGGGAACCACAGAACTTCCCTCCTCGACGTGTAGCTCCCCTAGGCAATGATGACCCTATCGTTAGTAGGGTGGCGGCACGGTTCCCAAGAGACACCTCATGTGCCCAACGAACGCAGCCCGTCGAGACTCCCCGAGCGATCCTCGCGCGGTATCATCTCGTATGCCCGACACGGGGAAAACTCCTCGAGCAAGCTGCGGGAACGACATATTCTAGCCGGGAACGGGACCCCGTGATGCAGACGACCTAAGATCAAGTCATGGCTCCTACTACAGGAACCACGACTTGGGGGGCTCCTGTTCTGGACTGGGCCGGGCTGGCCCAAAAGCAATGGTGAAGGCCCAATCCAAACGGTCTTGCGAGGGGTCACGCCGACCAAAAGGCCATATCCTTGCCCGACATTCTCTGCTAGTGCGACGTCCTCGACTCCACGCTATCCTGCTCGACCTCAGCTCGAGCACTCCTCCTAGGGCAGACTCTATCCACTACGCCATCACCTGGATCCCGAAAAGACCGCGTCCTCGTCCGTCCGTACTTCACGCAGGACATCCAGGAAGGGGACCACGTGCGGATCCCCACTACGCACGTAGAACCTGGCAATTCCTCCATTGGGCCAAACCTGCCCGATCCAATGAAGGAACCTTGGCCCAGCGCTGGGGGCTATAAATACCCTCTGTTCCCAGAGGGTCAGGTATTCATTCTTTTACCCATACTCATACTCTTGCCTGCTCGTGCTTTTACTTACTTCAGCATCGGAGTGCCTTGCAGATATCCCCCACCTCATTCAAAACTTCAGCTCGGAGCCAGCCGTGACGGTCCAAGTCTGATCAGGTTAGATCATAAATAAAGATGTGTTTCTTTCTAGAATTATAATTTAAAATATTATTACTAGAAGTTTTTTTCAAATTTATGTGGTTATGAATAATTTACATTTTAAAGAATATATATATATATATATATATATATATATATATATATATATATATATATATATATATATATATATATATATATATATATATATATATATATATATATATATATATATATATATATATATATATATATATATATATATATATATATATATATATATATATATATATATATATATATATATATATATATATATATATATATATATATATATATATATATATATATATATATATATATATATATATATATATATATATATATATATATATATATATATATATATATATATATATATATATATATATATATATATATATATATATAAAATAAAATATATTAAAATTTAAAAATATATAAACTTTTCATGAGAATATAAATTCATATCTTATCATATGAAAATAAAAATAAGAAAATTATGTATAAATTAATTTTTTTAAATAAAAAATATTTCTAAAATTTTAAATAATTAAAATGGCCATAGATAGAGTATTATTAACTTTTACTTTGACCAAAAAAAAAAAAGATAAATTGACAAAAAAAATAAAATAAAACAAAGGTAACTTAACCAAAGGAATAATCCACCTAACCTAACAAACCTCAAATATCACGCGTTAAGGGAAAAAAACCGGTTTTTCATTCTCTTCCAAACGCAGCTGTGAATAAAAAGCAGACAGTCGACATATAAATAGCCAAACACATCCTTAATAGTTTCCCGAACCTTCTGCATTACATTTTTCCTTTCAAAGTTCACTACGACCAAACCCAGTTAATTCAAAACCAACAGCATAATTTTCGTAAGAACTTTCGCATATTCTGTTCCAAAATATATTATAAAGTAATTTCCAAAACTGATAAAGCCTCTCACAATCACATAGCATATTCAAAACTTCACATTTTTCACAATCACATTATTCATCGATCTTGCTCTCTCACAGAGAGCTCGATCTCCACACCACAAAACCAAATGCCAGACACCGAACAGCCGCCGTCACCGGCGGAAGTCACCACCAAACTATTCGGAAAATACGAACTCGGCAAGCTCCTAGGCTGCGGCGCGTTCGCCAAAGTGTACCACGCGCGGAACATCGAAAACGGACAGAGCGTAGCCGTGAAAGTAATCAACAAGAAGAAAATCAACGCCATAGGACTCGCCGGAAACGTGAAACGCGAAATCTCAATCATGAGCCGTCTCCGTCATCCTAACATCGTTAGGCTTCACGAAGTTCTCGCCACCAAAACGAAAATCTACTTCGTCATGGAGTTCGCTAAAGGCGGCGAACTCTTCGCGAAAATCTCTACTAGAGGCCGTTTCAGCGAAGATCTATCGCGTCGCCTTTTTCAACAGCTCATCTCCGCCGTCGCTTACTGCCACGACCGTAACATCTTCCACCGTGACTTGAAACCTGAAAATCTTTTACTAGATGATAAGGTATTATTCAATTAAGTAGATCTAACTAATCAATTGAATTATGAATTTGTTATTTTGTTATTGTAACTGTGATTTGTGGTTACTAATTGCAGGGGAATTTGAAGGTTTCGGATTTTGGATTAAGTGCGGTGAAGGAGCAAATTCGTGTGGATGGGATGTTACACACGCTTTGCGGAACACCTGCTTACGTGGCGCCGGAGATTTTGGCGAAGAGAGGTTATGATGGTGCGAAGGTGGATATTTGGTCATGTGGTGTTATTCTGTTTGTTCTGGCTGCTGCTTATCTTCCGTTCAACGATCCGAATTTCGAATTTGATGGCGATGTATAGGAAGATATACACCGGGGAGTTTAAGTGTCCGCGGTGGTTTTCGGCGGATCTACGGCGGTTTTTATCGCGGTTGATGGATACGAATCCGGAGACGAGGATAACGATTGATGAGATTTTGAGAGATCCGTGGTTTAGGAAAGGGTATAAGGAGGTGAAGATTTATG